TGACTATTTATACTTCTTCTAGAAAGAACAGTGAAAATGTTTCAGAAATACATGAGAAAATGGGAATAATATACTGAATCTTCATGTTTAAACCTGTACATTCCTACCATTTTCTGAAGGACCTTTCTGATCTGCCCATTTCACTGCTTTTCTCTTGCTAGACACAAGCATTTCTCTGCTTCTGTGGTGGCATTAATAATCCAATCCTGCTAGAATGAGTCTGCAGAAATTTCTCAATAGCTTTATGCAGAGTCCTGACTTTTACTGTCAAAGGCGATGAGCAGAAAAAAAGATTTCTATCCCTGTTTCAGGTGATAGATCATGCCATTCTGTTAGAAGTGGACAGTATTAACTATGGATAAAACATGAAGAGCTTTGCAAATCATACTTAGACAAAAACTAAGCAAGACAAAATTTTATTGATATCAAACCTTGATCATGCTTAATTCTAAACTTGTCCTAAATCTGAAAAGCTCTAGTTCTATGAAAAACATTACTTCCAAAGATGTTGGAAGTCAATGAATCAGGCAGTGAGTCCTTGAAACTGCAGGAGCTGAAGAGACAAAAAACAGGTACTGATTTTAGTAAAGTAAAACAGAACAGACAGTGAAAAATAAATCATTATTAAATGGATAATCTATGAAAACAAAATAAATAAAAATAGACATTCTGAAACTCTCAGTAGTCCTTCAATTCAAAACTGCTCCTAGAGTCAGCAACAAAATGTAGAGAGATATCTGTTTGGTGTGACCTAGATACTGTCCAACTCTGATTTAAAAAAAAAGTTTTCTAACTCCATTGAATCAAACAATTAAATCAGATTGTTTTGTATGGAAAAAGATGAAAAAAAAAACCAGATAGGTTTTGCAAAGCAAAAAATAATAAAGCCATGCTCTGATCACCTTTTTTTGTCAATACTACATTTATTACCAAAGTTGTATCTGGTTACAAATAAAGGAAGAGTTGACTTGGATCTGGCCAACATCCAGAGCTTCAAGGTATTATAAATCAAAACCAACCACATATCTTCCTTAAAAATGAAGAAGTGCAGTATAGATATCGAAGTGTTGCTCACAGTTCAAAAAAACCTAAAAGAGGCTGTTGACATCTGCAGCAGGTAAGTCTATTCGGAAAATGCAGCACAGTGTCAAAATGCATTCCAGTAGTGTGTGGCTATTTGCTGTAATAAAATTCTTGTTTCAGACCCAGATTCTGAGGTTCCTTCCTTGTATTTGTTCCATTAGGTTCTGTATTGATGATGTATTTGCCCTGTGATATGACATATTGTATAAAGATTTTAATTAATCTGTGTGACATTTCTATATTCCTACAATGCCTAGGTAGACGAATCTTCAATAGTTTACTGCTTCTTTCTGACAAAATAAGGGTATATATCTCACACATATGGGCCTTTCTTTCCAGAAGTATCAAAGAATCATAATATCATAGAATTGCTCAGGTTGGAAAAGACCTTCAAGATCATCAACTCCAACCACAACTTGATCATACTACTCTAACCAACAACCCTCCCCTAAATCATGTCCCTGAGCACCACATCCAAATGGTTTTTAAACACATCCAGGAATGGTGACTCAACCACCTCCCTCTGGGAAGCCTATTCCAGTACTTAACAACACTGTGTAAAGAAGTTTGTCCCGATATACAACCTAAACTTACCCTGGTGCAACTTGAGGCCATTGCCACCACATGTCCTGTCACCAGTGAGAAGAGACCAGCCCCACTCTCGCTGTAATCACCTTTCAGATATTGGAAGAGAGCAATTAGGTCTCCCCTCAGCCTCTTTTTCCCCAGACTAAACAGCCCCACTTCCTTCAGTCTCTCCTCACAGGCCATATTCTCCAAGCCCTTCACCAGCCTTGCTGCCCTTCTTTGGACCTGCTCCAGCATCTCCATGTCCTTTCCGTACTGAGCTGCCCCAAACTGAACACAGCACTGGAGCTGAAGCCTCACCAGTGCCGAGTCCAGGGGCAGGATGACTTCCCTGGTGCTGCTCACCGCACCATTCCTGATCCAAGCCAGGATGCCATTGGCCTTCTTGGCCACCTGGGCACTCTGCTGGCTTATATTTAGTCAACTGTCCATCAGTACATCAAGGTCCCTTTCCATCAGACAGCTTTCTAGCCACTCCTCCCCAACCCTGTAGGGTTGCCTGGGATTTTTCTGACCAAAATGCAGGACCTGACACTTGGCCCTATTGAAACTCATCCAGTTTGCCTTGGCCCACCAATTCAGTCTATCCAGGCCTCCTGTAGTGCTTTTCTCCCCTCTGGCAGATCAACACTCCCTCCCAACTTGGTGCCATCTGCAAACTTACTGAGGATGCACTCAATCCCCTCATCAAGATCGTTAATGAAGATGTTAAATAGAAGCAGCCCCATACTGAGCCCTGGAGGACATTGCTTGTGACCAGCCACCAACTGGTTTTAACTATGTTGACCACAACTCCCTGGGCCTGGCCATCCAGCCAGTGTTTCACCCAGCAGAGCACATGCCCATCCAAACCGTGGGCAGCCAGTTTGTACTAACTAAACCAATCTGAAGTTCTAATAAGCATGAAAATAATCTAAATCACATGGTGTTTTGTGGGGAATTATTCCCCCTCTGCAGCAGGCTGAGAATCAGAAGAAAGAATAATAGCTATTAGAATGACGAATATTTAATTACCCAGGACTGGGCAGCTATTTTGAAGAATGAGATACAAAGTACTAATTTATCTGCTGGGATACGAGAGTTCAGAAGGAAGCTGAGGACAGGTGAAAATATAACTGTGTATCTGCCTAATATATGTGAGATTGAAAGGAATTTATGCACCAATATGAACTAGGAAATGTATTTCAGTAGCCTTCCAAATGACTTGGAGATGTTGCAAAATAGAGGAAGCCTGTATTTATTACATTTCATTTCAGTTAAACATATATTCTTGTCACCAGCACTTAGGCATCACAGAAGGTTATAGAAATCTAAATAGTAGCTTTTTTTTTACAGTCCTGCAGCATTTGAGGAAATAATTCACAGTCTATGAAAACTGCCATGAGAAGTATCACATGAACACAGGATAAGGAACAGTCTCTGCCTTAAATGTGAAATATTTTGAATCTTTAACACACTAACTCCAGCAACATTGATTCGTTCCTTTTTCCTAACAAGGTCTTTACAGGTTAAAAAGAACAACTGCATAATGAGTATGGAGAGCTAAGATGAAAAAAAAATGCTAAAAGAATAGTGTAAAAATTTATGTTGCTTGGGATCATATATCAGAGATACTGTTTGTCATTATTTTACTATCCAGAAATAAAAAGTCATCATCATTCTATATAACTGTAAAAAAATTTCAAAGAATGCCTCTTTGCTGTTGATCTTAAGGCTCTTCAGCTCAAACAACGAACCAGAATTTGACAACACTGACACAAAAAAATGCAATTAGACCTTCAATACATTCATGATAGTGGGATTCTGCTTGGGCTCTGGAAAAAAATCCTTGTAGTATGTTTGAAAAACAAAATGTTCATCATCTACTGAAACACTGAATTCTGATACGTTTCTTATCCTGTTTCTTATTGGATTCAATAAGATTCAAAGCCAACACAATCATTGGAATCCTTTATCCAGTCTTTGATGCATTTGGAATCAGTCTCAGAATACCAAAATTAGACTCAGTGGTATTGCACTGCATTATTTGGTGGCAATTTAGTAACAGTGATACACGACAGTGGCATTATAAGCAATACTGAAAGCATTTTTCAAGACAACACTAAGATTCCCACCAAATTCTTGATGAGGCACAGTGCAGTTCTACGTGGGATGAAAATTAACTCCTGTCACAAGAGTAGCCCTCCACAGCCACTGTCTGATTTGTACTCCCAGAAGTGCAGAATCACACACGGGAATGTGTTTTTTCAGGCTGTCTCAGTCACTTTACTCAAGTATTTTAGAGTCCAGGAGGAAAAAAAACATAAAACCAGCATGTTTATTCATGCAGACAAGATTTTATTTCTCAAGGGAAGGAGGAGTCACCTATCTTCATATATAAGATACTAATATTTCTACGTATATTCATGTATTTTTCATTTTTTTATGTCGTTTTTCTGTAATTCTCTACATATTGATGGGTGTGCGAATGGGCTGAAAACACAAGGCTGTCAGGCAACAATTGCAGTATTGAAGCTTGTACGGCTGCTTAGACGGAGAGCTCGGGCGTTCCGCGGGAGCGGGCGGTCATTACGCAGCTCCCGTGCCGTATCCCCGACGTGCTCGGTTTCCCAAGCCAGTGGCGCGCAGGCGCCTCTCAATCCCCGGCGAGATGCTCTCGGACGTGAGAAGGGAATCGCCCTGCCTTTCTCTATCTCCTGCTTTTTCTCTGGCCTTGCTGCCCTCTTTTTCTACCGTTTAGCTCAGTCTCCTGTCTGGATTTCATTTTTTATCTCCTTGAGCTTTTTTTTTTTTTTTTTTTTTTTTTGTTTATTGTTGTCTACCCCTGGGAGTCCGTTTACCATCCGCTCTTTAGGTCCTGCTCCTCTCCACACAGCTGTATTTAAAGGGAGACCCGCGTTTCTATTATCCTCCGCTCCCCTTCTCTCCGCTTCCACGTACCCTGTGCCCCCACCCGTCACTCTGCTCGATTTCAAACCTTCGGATGGTATTTTGGTGCGATTAGGAGATTAACATCCCTGGAACACCAGGAGAGGAGGAGGAGGAGGGGGAAAAGGAGAGCGAGACGGCACGAGTGAAGCTGTCCTCCCGCCGCCCCAGCCATCCTCGGCTCCTCGGTTGCAGCGGAGGAGGCGTTTTCAGGCGCCGTTGGCTGCGGACGGCGGCTGCGAGCTGCGCCCGGTGCCCGCATCCGCGGAGCTGCGCCGGCGAGAGCTGGCGGAGGACCTGCGGCCGCGGGTCCTGCTCGCAGCCCTCCTCTCTTTTATGAGCAGCGAGGCGGAGGAGCGGCAGCGGAGGACAACAGGAGGAGCATTTCTTCCCCGGGGTTTATGAATGGCAATGATATGGAGGAAATACCGTTTCATAAAGTCAAGACCAAGAGGAAGAAGTGCTTCCACTGCTGCTGCTCTCCGTCTGCTGCCGCGGTGGCGGGAGCGGGAGCCAGGCTGGGAGAACCTCCTCCCCTGCTGCTGCTGGATGCCATTGCCTGTGAAGATGAGTTCGACTGCAAGGAGCTGGAAGCTCTTTTCCAGAGCTACAACCTGAAGCTGGAGCAGAAGTCTACCCTCAAAGCGCTGGCCGTTCTCATCGTGCTCACCGCCAGCCTGGCCCTTGTGGAGCTGCTCTCTGGACCCAGCTTGACCATTTCCAAAGGCTCGCACCCGGTGCACTGCATCATCTTCCTTTCTCTCTTTATCGTCACTAACGTCAAGTACCTGCAGGTCACCCAGCTGCAGCAGATCGTCAAGCTCACCTTGCTCTTTAGCTTCACCTTCTCCTTCCTCTGCTGCCCCTTCTCGCTAGGCGCCTACAGCATGGAACCCCTCAGCGCCCCGGAGCAGGGCATGTGGCAGCTCATGCTGGTCACTTTCGTCTCGTATTCACTGCTGCCCGTCCGGACCCTGCTGGCTATCGTTTTCGGGCTCGTGGTGTCCGTCTCCCATCTCATCGTCACCGCCACCTCCGTCAGCGCCAAGCGGCAGCGACTCTGGAGGACGGTGAGAAAAGGCCGGGCTGGGCCGGAAACCGCAGCAGGGCAGAACCGCGCGATGCGTGCCCGGCAAGTAGCCGGGAAGGCGCCGAGCAGCGCGGTGCTTTCGGGGGCGGCGGGGGGGTGCGCTCCTCCCGCGGCGCGGCCAGCGGAGGGTGCGCTGGAGAGTGCCTGAGATGCCTCTAGCGGAGAAGGGGGCGGCGAGCCCCTATGCTTCAGGCGCTGCCTGTAGCTACCGAAAGTTTCCGGGAGACAGGGTGGTTATGGGGATTCCTGGAGAATAGGACTCTCGTCTTGGTCGCTCGGAAGAAAATGAGGGTTAGGGAAGGGCAGCATTTGCACGCTGGGGCATGTTCACGGACAACTTATGCACGGTCAGTGCAAATCCAGTACATATAAATGTACTCGAGTCAGTACAAACTTGGAATAGAAAATAAGCTGCGTGTGTCAGTAATGCTTTTTTTTGGAGGGGGTCGGGGGTGAAGGGGGGTTCGTATCCCCTCTGTATAAGCCTTCATGTCCATAGGTCATCTCAGGAGGTAGAGAATCGATTCAAAATACGTGGGAAAGCCAAAGAAGGAAACCCACCTCATTGTTCTTCCAGTTAAACAGGCATTCTCATTTTAGTTTCTCCATGGCAGCTGTTGCCCCCTTTCCACAGCCATTCCCTGGTATGTCAGTGAGCTTCCTAGCAGTTCCTTTCCCTATCTGAATTAATCCAGAAGAAAAAATAAAATAAAATAAAATAAAATAAAATAAAATAAAATAAAATAAAATAAAATCATTCTGCAGCAAGGATTTTCGGAAATGTGCTGCTACACTCTGTTCTCCCTCCCCCGTGTAGCTATTTATAGCCCTGCAGGGCTTTCTCCAGCTCCAGTGGCCTGATGGGCTGCACTGGCAGTGGGAGGAGAATGAAAGGATGCACGTATGGGAAATGCTGGGCCTGGGAGTCAGGATTTGCAGCTTAAGGCCGTATTATATGGTGACTGGGAAAGAGAAATTGAGAATTTTTCTTCCCTCTTTGGTATTGTGTTGATTTTGTTTGCCTTCAGGAGAAATACATGGATTCTGGGATGTAGATTAGTGTTAAATATCAAATAAATGCATGAAATAAGTACATATATAATGGCATATGTACACATACTGGAGATACACCCAGACATTGAGATATATAGGATTATTTATGGCTTCACGCTGCTGACCTGCTGGACAAAATAAATTCTATATTTTAAAGGGGAAGAAGGAGATAAGCTGAGCTTTATGATTTACCCAGATAATCTGATGGTCTATTTTTAAATGCGTGATTTAGAGTTTCCATGAGAGGGAGAGCTGATGAAACACAGGAAGAGAAGCCTTCTTTAAAAGCATACAAAAGGACACTAAAAACCCTAGAATCTATCTCTTTAGGTAGGATTGGAGATCAATCTTTTTACTAGAGTGCTAATTAGCCTTTATGGGAGCCCAGGCTATCCATGCTGCCTTGAAGCAAAAGCAGATTTTCCTTGATACTCGATGTGGCTGTTCTAGATGAACGATGTAAAGAAACTGACATTAATATCTGCTCTGTAACTTAGCTAACCAAGGGCTTGAAAACGAACAATTTTAGAGGAAATCTGCTGCCTTTCTTTTTTAAGTCTAAACTCAGTTATTCAACAGGCAATAGACTGGCTTTGAAATGCTCAAAAGTATTCAACTAGCTACTGATGTAACACATGTACATTTCTTCTTCAGCATACTCTCTTCTCAACTGAAGTAATTTCTGTAATTTGTGCAGAAGTATGAACAGTACATTTTGCTGGTAACAGGAGGCAGAAACCAGCTCCAAGTCAAGTGAAATAACTGGTCTGTAAATTTCTATCACACAGAATTGCACATTCTTTTGTTGAATAATTGCAAGCAAAATGTCTTCTGATTTAAAGACCAACCCTGTGTGTACAAGGACACTTCTCCTATGTAAAAGTTGTTTTTGAGTTTTTCAAAGAACAGTTTCAAAACACTGGAACATTTAACAGTCATGTAGAAGCCACATCATCTAAGTTTTATTTACCAAGAGCAACAGTAGCTCAAGGTTTTTTGCTAAAGTCTGGAATGGGTGCTTTCTCTCAGTCTGGATCTGCTTTCTGTCACTGGATTTTATCATGACCATCCTTATGCTTAAAGCCACTGTATGCAGTCAGCCTATTAAGGAGACAGGGTGGCTGTATGCAGAGATGAAACTGCATGAATGCCTCTGCTATTTCTCCCAGCAACATGCCTTCAAAAGTCAAGTGAAAGGGTGAATTTCAATGATTAAATTAAAACCTATTGGATCCAGAAAGGCACAAGCACTAGCACCAAGTACTGATACTGGTGTCTTTTAAGATTTTTGGATAATTCATGCAGGGAAAAAAATTTCTTATTATTTAATTTGAGCTTTAGAAGAATGCTGATCTAGAAACATCCACTGAAGTTTAACTTTCAAGTTAAATCAAAACCATTTTTTTTGTGGTTTCAAGTTTGATCCGTTAAAAAATGGACTCACGTTTATGCTATATAAGGAACTTCTACATGCAGATCTTTGGATGTCAAAAGAAGGCCCCACTGGCTTCACCAGTGCTGAACCAGAACCTGAGTAGGTCCTGTGGCATCCTTAAAATTAACATTTATATAAATGTACAAACACTTCAGCACATTAAAATCGACAGCTCAGCTCATTATGGGAAAAGTTTGTTATGAGGTCCATGTTGTAAAGCACATATGCTTCAAGCATGTGTGAGTGGTCTGTGGAGATCAGGGTCTCCTTTCTCATAGCTCTTTCCATCATTGTATATTTTGTTCTCTCAGAGTTGAAACACAGGAATGTGGAGACGTGAGAAAAGAGGAGGAACATGAGTGCAGAGAGGTAAAGGGAGTAGGGGGAATAATGTGGCAGAACTTGAACTGCTTCTTTCCAGTCAGTGGCTGGTTTCTACCCAAATGGAAGATTCAAATATGCTAATCTGTGTTGGTTTCCTGAGGGAAATACAATAGTGTTTAAAGAATATCAATCATTCATAAAGTATTGTACACAACCTTGACCAAATTTGAAGTAGGTTAACAGCAAAAGGTATGCTGACTTCAAAGCTGGTTTTGTATATTGTGTTTGACATTCTGGTGAGGACTTGGGTACTGTACATAACTGATAGCATGTTAGTTGGACTTTTTCATTTGATTTGAAGTCATCAACAAGATGTTTATGTCATATCTTTCCTTGGGCAAAAAAGTGAGAAAGTAGTCACTGGAGGCTAAAACTAGAGATGAAAGTTTAAGAACTTAGAATCTAGGTGTGGGCTTTTTTGTTGTTTCTGTTTGTTTATTTGTTTGTTTCTTTTTCCCAGCAGCTAACAAATGTGCATGAGGTACTTCAGAAAAGTAACAGAAAACCAAAACCCTGCCCCAAGGAGTTTAATCCATTTTTGTTGTGATGCATTAAGTGAATGTTAGATATATTAAGGGCAGATGGAGTATGGCAGCCAAAGACCTCGCAGAGAAATTACTCAGCTGTGGCGTGTCCGCAGTTTTGTGACTTACCATTAAATAACTGCTTCTTATCCCTCTTAGTAGTGTCATCTCTTTCTTAAAAAAAATTAAAATATATGTATGCGTATCTCCAGAACATTCAGAAACAAATCATAAAATGGCAGAATGCTATCACACATAACATAAATCTTCATGAAAGAGAAAATCTCTTATGAAAACTGAAGTTGCATCTTGACTAGCAAGTAGTAGACGAAATAAAAGGGCAGAAATAGTGAAATGATATTTTGCTTTCAACGGTGTGGAGAATTCAAAGTGGTAATTTTTTTTTTTTTTTCTGTCTGCATTTAAAATTGCTTTGATGCTTTTATTTATCTATCTGTATGATTAAAGCTTTTATTAATTTTATCAAGTAACAAAATCATGGCTAGAATATAAAAAGTGTGAAATGAAGGAAATTGGTAAATTATTTTAAAATAATTTGTATTATAGCAAAATGTGATTTGGCACCTTAATTCTTTGCAGGTTGGCATGACAACAATCTGGAATTTCTCTAGGAATTGTCACATTATCGTATAGTTAATCATTTCTATTAGTACTTAAAACATAGTTAATGAACACATGGTTGACAGAACTCTTAATCTCCACACCTCTGTTTCTCATACACAAGGCTGAGTCTAGCAGTCTAATAAAAAGGGCTGCAATTCAAAGACAACTGAACTGCATCTCATTCTTTCCTCTCCTCTGTTTGTTCTTATCTCCCCTCTTCTTCATTGCTGTCTTCTCTGTTCTTTTCTATTCTGTTCTTTTCTGTCTTTATCTCTTCCATCAGTTTATGCCTTCTTAACTGTTGTCACAACAGGTCATTGCTGATAAGTGAGCTGATATGTGAGTACGGAATAAAATTAGCCCCGATGTCACCTTTTGTAAAACTAGTAACTTTTCACCTCTTAGTTACATTTGCATTAATTTAGATTTAAAAGCCTAAAAAGACAGGTAAATCGGATGATATGATAAAAGGTTGTGATACCTGCTAAAACAATAGATTCTGGAACACCTTTCAGCATGGATGCTAAACCTTCGTAAATAGTTTGCAAACAGAAATAACTGTTAAGGACAAGCAGTTGTATTTCTTAAGTTTCAGTGACCCCTTCGAAGCGATTCAAATATCATCACTTTAACCGTTTACACGGGGGATCTAATTGTTTACATGGTAGCAAAAGAAGGAAAAGGCTTTTAAAAATGACTAGTAGAAAATACGATTTTTTAAAAGATTTTGAATTTTAGAATATTTTTAATACAATTTTCAGCACCTTTAAATGCCCCAAACTTGAAAAATTGCCTCAGACTCTATGAAATTGTTTTATATTAATATCCATTATGGTGGACTCAAGTGAGTGTAACACATGAACACATTATTTCTGGAGCTGTAAGTATGATACCAATTATAAAAGAGACTGTGTTTTTGAGATGAGAAATCAGTGAGCTTCACACATTAGTGTGGAAATG